GTTAAAAAATATTTTAAAAGAAGCGCTAGAAGGAGGACTTAAAACCTCCGACCTTGTGGTTAACAGCCACACGCTGTAGCCAAGTGAGCTATTCCAGCAACTGTTTGTTATATTGAACCCAATAATTTAATATTAGTTTAGGTAGTTGAGCTCTCTCTCTAGAATCACCACCAATGGTTTACTAATTTCCTTTGTTTTTCTCTCTTAAATTATTTCTAACGAGCCATGTCTCTCCCTTTATAAATGATTGCTAATGAGCCATCTCTCTCTCTACATTTACAACCAATGGTTCAATATTATGCTTTCTCTCTCTTAATGATCCATGTCTCTTTCTATGTTTCACACCCTTCCCTTGAATCTCATCCTTTTGAAATCGATGTATGAGTTATTATTTCAGCATATAACTATTAAGGGAAAGTAATATAAATATTAAAGTTATTAATAGCGTAACGGAAAGTATGTAACGACATCATTTATCTTTTGCATAAGATGATCATAGTTAATTTTGACCATTGGATGTTAAATATATTAATTGACCAAGCTTAAAGTTTAAAAGAAATTTTTTTGAACTTTACTATAGATCTAAGAGCCGGATGTACCTAAAATTATAATCTTTTTAAATGATAACAAAATAAAGATTGAGATAGCAACGGGCAACCGTTTAGGTAACCTCATTGGATTTTATTCTCCATCAAAATAAATTATAATGCTATGTCAAATTTTTCCAAAAACTTGAGCGAAAAAAATTTGAGTTTGACTCAAATTTTTTTAGCTCAATTTTTTTTTTTTCGCTTCCCTGGTCGCGCCTTTCCCCTTCCCTAGCTCAAAAGGTTTTCAGATATAGATGTTTTACAACGTCAAAACATTAATAGAGGAAAGTTTGTAAATGGCTCTCACCTCTTTTGCCTATCCATCAAAGTACTCTCTCTCGAATAATAATATTAAATCTTTTAATCCTTTCTCTTGTTTCATAGCTGCTAAATCCGAGAGAAATAATTCCAGAAAACCCAAATTAGGGTTTGTGAACTCAAAAGGGAATAAACTCCATAGAACGTATTTCCTCAATTCAATGGTTTCACCTACTAATTTTCGCAACCAATTTCTTTCTGTTTCATAGGCACATACCAAGTTTTCTCACTCTAGTTTGTAATTTCTCTCTCTAGGAGTTTTTTAGTTTTTGTTTGACGTGTTTCTGTTTTTTCAAGGTTCAATGGTTTTCTCTTCCTTTTAACTCGTGCTATGATAGAATTTATTGCAACACATCGAAACAAATAAATTTGGCAAATAAGATTTTTTTCTCATATTTTAATAGAGATCCAAATAGTTTACCATTATAATAAAATAAAACGATAAGGCTTTTCAATTGATGAGGGAAAAAAATGCATTTTTTTTAACTTGAATATTTTTTCTTTGACATCCAACTGGGCCTAAGCTATCAAATTTCATGTCGGATAGTTGTAAGTAATTGTAACCTGGTCTCATTGTATACAA